CACTCTTGGTACCAAATGTGTTAGACTAGGTTCTCTAGAGAAACAAAATCAGTAAAGCTTAGGGAGAGAGAGAAAGAGAAATTTATTTTAGGAAAATGGCTCCCACACTTATGGAAGCTGGCAAGTCCAAAGTTCTTGGATCAAACATCAAGCTGGAGGCTTTTCCCAACTCCTGCAGCTGCAGGGGATGAGGAGATCAAGGTTGGCAGACAGTACACTGGCTGTTGACTCCAACGAATGACAATTCCAAGATCTCCAGGCCAAATGGTGGATTGTTCACTCACAGACAGTTGGAGGCAGCACAACAGAATCCTGATCCACAGAAGAGTGTCTCTTTTCCCAGGATGTCCATAAATATACTGGAAGCAGGCCACACCCCTATGGAAACTCCCTTTCAATGCATTGGCTGCTCAAAACATATTCATCTGATCCTATCATGGGAATAACCACATCACAACTGCTTAAACCACACAGAATCATGGTCCAGCCAAGTTGACACACAGTTCCAACTCTCACAGGGGTCCTCCCAGGTTGCTCTTTACCTACAATGGGTTGTTAGTTTTGCCCAGGGAAGAAGGTAGTCTCTGTCTGCAGAAACTTTTGTACAGACCTGAGTTGAATGATATCTCATGGGTTTGTGATTCTCCCAAAATGATTGACTAGGTAGGGAGGTGGAAGGCGCAGAGGCCTGCATAATGGAGAAGGTCCTGCTACCATGGCGGACAGGAGCTGAGAGAGCTGTCCTGGTTGGAAGTTGTCCTTATTGGTGAGGTTGATCCTGTCCAGTGTTGTATACAGTTACTTCCAAGTTGATCCTTATCTGAGTTGTCTGCTGAGTTGTATCCCAATAAACCATTTTATTGTAAGTATAGTTCATAAATTCTTTGGCCATTGAAATGAATTATTGGATCTAGCAGAGTAGTTTAGTAGGTTGTAAGAGGGATGGATGGTGTCATAAATGGTGAAGAAATTGGAGAGTGGAAGTATATCTGACCTTTATCTTATAGGAACCAGCTTTGTGCTGATTCTGAGTCTTATCCCTTGGGAATTTAGGCAATTCCTGATGCTAGAGTACTCCATTTATAGATGATTGGTTTGGGGAAGAGTAATCTTGGCCCACACCAAAAGACCATACTGGAGGTAGGCCCAGACCCTGACCTTAGCTTCTAGGGACCTGACCCTACTGACCTTCTGTACTGATTAATGGTATAGAGAGGGGATGAAGCCTGGGTTTTTGCTATAGTCCTATTTCATAGACAAGTAAACCAAAGGTTTTGCACCTGGTCCATTGCCTCTTCTCTGTACTAGGGTCACCTTCTCCAGGAAGTCTTCCTTCCTCTTTGACCTTGCAGTGTCAGGTTCTGTCAATGTTCAACAAAAATGGAGGCTTCTTGAAGCCAAATCAGAGATACAGTGAGTAAATGGTGAGCCCAGGACCCCACCACCATCACCATCAGCCCAGTGTAGAAGCTGAGTGTGATGGCAGGCTTTGGAGTTAAAGAGACCAGGTTCAAATTCTTGCCTGGCCATTTGTTGGCTGTTCACTAGAGTCTCAGCAGCCTCCTCCTTAGGGATGTTGAGAATTGAGATAAGACCTGTGAGGCCCTCCTCAGAGTGCCTGGCACACAGGGAATGCTCACATGTGGCTGGTTACTGCCGTTGGCTGTTCAACTTGGGGTACCCCTCAGGGCCCAGGAAATCAGAGAGCAGTTCCGCTGAAAAATCTAAATGAATTAGCTAGGAAGAAAGGAGTGGCTTATGATTAGAGAGTGGGATACAGAAAAGGTAGTTTTGCAGGAAGAGAAATTTCAGAGAATGATAAGGTCCTGGATGTGCATGTGGGAATGTAGGGTGAATCAAAGGAGTGAGAGACCAGGATGAAAGTGAGAGAAACCCAGACAGACTAGTGTATAATATAAAAAGCAATATACCAGCTCACATGATAGTCCAGGTCTACACTGGCTTTGGAGTTGCCTGGATCCAGACACTCACTCCCCTAATTGCAGTCTCCTGTCCCTCCATCTCTTGGCTCCTTTCTCAGGTGGCCTCTCATTATGTATTGACAAAGGCCACTGGCAGCTCTGGCATCATGTCCACACAGTTTTGTAATCCCAGGGGAGAGACAGCAGCACATCTTTCTCAATAAGTTCTAAATAACTTTCTTCTAATTATAAGAAAAGGGGAGCTCTGGTGGCATAGTGCCTAAGGCACGGGGGGTTTGCCTAAGGGTTCACTATGAGTCTCATCCGACTCCATGGCAGTAAGTTTGGTTTGGATTTTTGGTAATTATAAGAAAAGTCCCAGGATTGAGTCTCTTTGAACCAACTGGGGTCATGAAAGCATTTCTGACACAGTCATTGTGGTCAAGTGAACAACTGACTGAACACCCATTGGGCAAGTCTTGTGTCACAAGACCATCCCTGGGGTTGGAGATGCATCAAACCAGTACCTGAGAGTGGGATATGGGGGTGCAGCCCGTTGAAAGTAGGGCCATTAGGTGCTCCTGAAGAATGCAGGCCTGAGGGTGGAGAAGACAGTACCCAGGGTCCATGTCTTTAAGGAATGGAGAGGACAACAGAGATGGGGAGGATGAGCAGCAGCACCAAGAGGGAGGAAGCTGGTAGGACCAGGTGGTGTGAGCATCAAAGGTGGAGTTTGGTGGAGCATATGGAAAGGCAATGAAGAAGAACAAGAATGACCTGCATCCCACTTAGCTGGTCAGTAGAACCCCTTTTCTCTCAAGAATCCTAGGTAGACCAAGGCCTCCCATGGCTACTTCCTGCTGGTACCTATCTGCTATCCCTGCAGCAGTCTGGTCAGGGGTAGGCTGGCACAGTAGACCTACAGCAGGCACACTGCCCTTCAACCAGAACTGTAAGTAGGTGAAGCTCCTACTTGTCAACAGGAGGTAGAGGGGTGGCTGGCAGGGAGGGTGAAGCTGTCAGCTTCTGCCCACAAGTCTCCAACCTGTGCCTGTCTGCCTTCTGGATGCCCACAGGTACTCAGACCCAAAAGACTCACAGTCAAGTCTAGCATCACATTTCCAGCTTTGCCCACATTTGTCACCAGAGCCAGAGCCTGAAGCCTGTGGGGAAGGGCCTCACAATCAAATCAGTCCTATCGCACTCTCTGAACCTGTTTACAGAGTAATAGAGTACTGAGTGTGTCTGGTGACTTCTGTCACTTCAGTGGCCCAGAAGCTTGAGAAAGGCAAGCACTAACACTGGCTTTGCCCACCACTGTGTTCTCATCACCTAGCCCAATACAGGACAGGGGAAGACTCGTGTTGACACCTGGCCCTGCAGTTCCTTGAAGCAAGGAGCAGTGGGATATGCAGGGACAAGAAGAGTGGAGCAGCCTGTGTGTACGAAGGGAGCTTCCAGGTAAAGGGCCTGGAATAGCCTTGCAGGGTGGTAAGCATTGGAGGGGTCTGATCCTGGCCTGGGGCTCTGCCATTGTCAGGGCATGGCAGTGGCTGGCAGAGCAGGGAGGCCTTAGATCACCGGGTACCAGCAGGTCAGCAACAACTCACAAGCTATGCTCCCCTCCCCCAACCTGCTCTCACTGAGAGGCCCTGTGGTTTCCTAGGTCTCCCTATCCTTTCTAACAACTGCTTTCAAAATGAAGTGTGTCGCAGAGGAAAATGAGCTCCCTTGCATCTTTCACCTAAATCCAGTCCTGGCTCACAAGGTTCTGAAACTTTGCCTGGCTTCCTACTGCCTGAGTCTTTCTTGTTTTGCAGTTTTCCTTTAATTGGGACATCTGTCAGAATAGGCCTCAGCCTATCGCCCAGCTAGATGAACAAACCATCTCACCATCCCATATGCTGGACACAAGTGTCCTAGGGCTGAGGGTCAGTCTGTAATTTTCCCAGTAGCTCTTTGGGACAAGCATTGCTACACTGATAATCATTCCTCCATATAGGCTCAGAACAGATAATCTATAGCTGATGTGAGCCAGGCTCTGGGACCTCACCTTCCTGACCGTACCTCAGGGTTCCTGTGGTAACATGAACACGAAGAGTACTTGGATTCAGAATAACTAACCTTAGCAAAGGCCAAGCCTGAAGCGACCTGGTAAAGGATGACCGGCAGAATGTAAGGTAGACTCCATTGGCAGGGCCTTACTGACTACCACAAAACCACCTTCTCCCTCTAGGCAGCCTGTGGTCCACTGTAGGGGTAGATGCGCCATTCCCTCCAAGGGTACAGGGCCAGGCTGGCTCCCCGCTTGAGCTACCACTGACCACAAGCAGTGGGTCTCAAGTAACCGTCTACCTCCACTTCAAGAGGTCCCCGGGTTGCTCCTCCTCTATCAACCCGACTGCTCTCTCTCTCGTAGCTTCTACCCCTTGCTTCTCCTGGCTTCAAGGAACCAGGTTGCTGAGAGTTCCGCTCTGCGTCTCCGGGGGTCCCCAGGCCCACCACCCAATCTAAGCTACCGCGGCCATCCCTATTCCATCAGAAAGAAAATGAGAGCGGTTCAAAGGTTTAAACAGTTTATTGTGCCAAAAAAAAAAAAAAAATCGACGGGGTGAAGTGAAGCGCCGCGCAGACCCGCGCCCCGAGCGATTGTTTGTCGCGCACCCAAAGGCAGGAAAGTGGGGCCAGAGAGGGGCGGCGCGGCGGCCCAGTCCGCGCGCCTGGGCCCTGGCCAACCTGCGTTACCGCCGGGGCAGGCAGGCGCAGCCTCGGCCATTGGCGCCTAGAGGCCGGTAACCATGGCGACGGCCGTTGCCAAGGGCGAGAGCCAATAGGGGCGTCGCCGAGGCTGTTTCAAAAATCCAAAGCAAACAACAACAAAAAAAACCTACATGTGGAGGGGGGAGGGGAGGGGTGGAAGAGGACGGAAAAGGGGCAGAGTGGGGCCTGGGGTCCCCTCCCTGCGGCTCAGACCCGGGATAAATCGTACAAAACCTACAGACAGTTGGGGTAGAAAAAAATAGAAAACCGAAAAGACCCAGCAGGCCCGAGTGGACGCCTCCCATCGGGCCAGCGTGCTCACTTGCGGCCTTTGGGCACTTTGGGGACGCTGGGCTTGGCTGCCTTCTTCACCTTCTTGCCTCCAGCGGCCACTGCCTTCTTTGCCTTGCTGCCTTTGTCCTTCTTGGCGACAGCAGCGGCACCACCACTCGGGTCTTTCTTGTGTGAACGCTTCTCGGGCTTCTTGCTCTTCACGGGCTTCTTGTCCGCCCGCTGGGAGCCGGCCGCGCCGGGGGCCGCCTTCTTGGCCTTGTGCGCGGTGGCCGCGGGGGCGGGGGCGGCCGTGGGGCCCCCGCGCCGCTCCCCGCCACCCTCCAGCTTTTTGCGGTTGAGCTTGAAGGAACCATTGGCGCCAGTACCCTTCACCTGCAGGAGCGTGTCGTTCTGCACCAGCGCCTTGATGGAGTACTTGAGGTAGGTGCGCCCGTTCTGCTGGTCGAACCACGCCACCTTCTTGGCCTCGGTGTAGATCTTAGCCAGCGACGAGCCGTTGCGCTCGCCCAGCCTGCGGATGGTCTCTACCACCAGTTGGCTGTACTTGCCCGGCTGGTTCTTCTTCTTGCTGTTCTTCCTTTTCTTGGACGGGGAGAGCGCCGCCGAG